ACGATTGTATAGCCTCTGAAGATGATTTCATCGATAAAGAAAAGTTTCTTCTCTGAGTTGTCTTTTAAATTCTTCTTGACACTGATTATCATTATTAAATGTCTTTTCCTACAAATGATTAATATTTTATTTCACATTGTTTCAAACAAAAATTTCCATTAATCATTTCCCAACACCCTTCTTCCATAAACTGTCAATGTAAAATTGAAATGCGTTTGATCAACATATATTCACCATACTAATTTTATAATTATGAAGATTTATTTCAGACAACATGTTAAGACATAGTACAGAAATTCTCAGTGTAAGTGGTTGCAAAAATATTCCATCTTCTACAGGCAAACTAATAACCTGCAGTATACCATGCGACACGATATCATTCCATATCAACAAAGATACAATTCTCTAAGATTTTTTCTTCAATTCCTTCCAGAATTCTACAGCATTTTGTTGAAAAGTAATAAAAAATGCAAGTTTATATAGCTTCCATTTTATGATTGAAAGAATAAGAAATACAGACGATTTGAAGCATAATGATAAATGAAAACTTTGATAGCTCAGTGACTTGAGCGTGCGTATCAAAGAATTTTCTCACTACATCAATAAGACTACCTGTATACAGAAGGCCCAGCGTGATGTGACAATGTATAAATTTGCTTAGCATAAGATAAAAACTATCATTTGAAATGCGCTGAACATTGTGTCCAACAAAAGGTTGCAATAATTCAGTTAACCTTAAAAATTTTTTTATGTAGCTTTGGCGTTTAAGTGTCACTCCGAATGTCTTATCACTAAGTAATGATTTAATGTCATTCTTATTGGGGAAAATTTTTCGTAGTGGGAAACTTCATAGCGTACTAATAACAGTGTTATATCCTACTGTGTTTATCAATTTATATTTGTGCATAGTCACACGTACATGTTATGAACCTGAACATTTCTGAAGGTTAGGGATTCAGACCAAGTTCCAGAGCACTTGAAATCATGAAACTCACCTTATAGATACCTAACGCCATCTTTCTCAAACCACATCATATGGACGGGTCATAAACTTGGTTTTAAATTTCCTTTTAAGCCTATAGTAAAATATTATTGGTTTTTCATAAATTTATCCTAGCAAATGACACAACATAATAAGACGCCATCTAATAGGAATGTGATTATGCAAGAAGTTCAAAATGCGAGGAGGTCAGTTGAATCAGCTATAAATAATTACCATTGTCTTACAAACTACTTGTTGATAACTTTGTCAAATTATTGGTTATGACTATTATCCCAAGTATTTCCACCCGTTTCATGCCTCAAACTTGATATTAATTATTGACTGACATTACTATATGATAGGAATAATTTTGATTCATTATTTAAAAAAAGTGTATATTGGTGTAGAGTCTTTGATACGAAAATAGTTGGGAAGGGATACATTTATTCACCCAATATATCACTATTCTGTAAATTTTTAAATCAGAATTTCTAAATTTACTAACTGAATAGTTAGCCCATTTTCTACAGAAAGAGCTCAAAAACTTAGCTTTTGATTTTAATCATAAACACAATCCCATACTAAGGACAAGATTGATAGAAGGAGCAACAAACCTGAATTGTTAATTGGGGTTCTTAAGAAGTTATATCCGGTGAGGGAATTGAATCTTAGGTGTGAATGCATAAAATAATAATAATAATATGAAGTTCAATTAAAACTAAAATGTTTGTGATTATAATCGTAGTTAAATGTCAAGTGGCAAAGCAAATTAATGTCATATATAGAATAATTCATAGGAGGGATAGAACTTGAAAAAGGATGTGCAATTATAGGATGAGTAGACAAATCGAATAAAGCAAAAACGTTACGTAATATTGTGTGAAATTTAATAGCATAGAATTTTTCGTTGTGAAAAAGAATTGATTTAGAATGAAAAGTGGAACAAGTGAAATAATACCGGGGACAGTTCAAAGTGAGAACAGGAGGAGTATACAAATTGAAAAGACAAAATGAAAAAATGAGAAATTGGTAGAGCTAAAATATGATTGGGGATTACCATATTTTAGCATAGAGGAATTAAGACCATGAAAGTTGGAGGGGTTGAACGAACTTTTTCTGTACACAGAGATCTGGTTTTTCTGTTTCGATGGCCAAAGCTTCAGCGATACAGATGAGTCGGGTAAATTACTCTTTGCCTTGTAGATGACTTTAAAGGCGGAGGCTATAGAGATAGGGTGATCATTATCGACCAGATGTTCAATGATCGCGCTTCTTATTGTTCCACTTCTACCTTTTCGTAGCCATACAGGATAGTGTTCTTGCACCCTCTTGGACAAAACTCGAGTCGAACAACCGATATACCTAGCTATGCAAGAGCAAGTGAATCGATAAACGCACATAGAGTTGGTCAACAGCGGGATCTTGTCCTTCAGGTTATTGAACAATAATGGTGGGCTAGTAAAGGCTATTCTCAGAGATGCAGCAGGGAATGTTCTTTTCAGGGACTGTGATATCCTTCGTTTCATGATATCGGAAGCTAAATCAATTCTTTTTTTACAACGAAAAATTCTATGCTATTAAATTTCACACAATATTACGTAACGTTTTTGCTTTATTCGATTTGTCTACTCATCCTATAATTGCACATCCTTTTTCAAGTTCTATCCCTCCTATGAATTATTCTATATATGACATTAATTTGCTTTGCCACTTGACATTTAACTACGATTATAATCACAAACATTTTAGTTTTAATTGAACTTCATATTATTATTATTATTATTTTATGCATTCACACCTAAGATTCAATTCCCTCACCGGATATAACTTCTGAAAAACCATATATATACGACTGTACAGCTTGATGATAAATTCGTTGAAAAGACTCTCTTCGCTGAATCACTTGTTTTGTTTTTCCATATGTTACAATGGGAATTTTCCATGAATTGGGTGCTTTCCAGTGTTCCGATTTAGTCTAGTAGTGTCCCAGAGACAATATTATACTCCAGCTTATTTGAGATAGTAACATTTATTTGGTTGGTCACGCGATGTGTACATTAGTATCATCGTTCAAATTATCCGATTACTTCGTATAGTCTTCTCCCTTCATAACTATTGTGGTTCTTCCTTTATCAGCTGGTGGTCTAACTAAGTTCTCTCTTATTCTTTGTGTTTTTAAGGCGAATCGCTACTGAGTAATGAGTACTGAGTCAGGTACTGTACGTTTTGTGCTTGATTGTGGGTATGACAGAGTGATGTAATTCTTTTTTGGTCTCTTCATTTAACTTCGATAAGAATAAGTGGAACCACATCAGAAAAATCTAAGAAAATTATCGTGTATGGTTGTGTTACGCATGGGGGGATAATGTTTTAGAAACCTAGTATATTCTACGTCAGCGTATGATCTTGAATGACAGAAGTATGTTCAAAAAGACGATAGTCAAACTTCTGAACCTTTAACTCTTATGAATAGAATTCTTGTTTCAAAGCATTTGCTGTTATGATGATGATTATTTCTTAGAGGTATCCATCACTTAATGTCCTTAAACTGAGCACGGCTGCTTGACTAAGTTTTTTATTTTATCCAATAACTTTCCTGGCATTTATTTTTCTTAACAACTGACAAGGATAATTTTATTGTTTGAGGATTAAGATCATCATCTGTATACCCGAATAGTTGTATTCCGGCTAGCTGCTTGGACAGTCTGCCAATAAACTTTTTAAAAGTCGCGAAATCCGGGATTCCAGAAAGATAACTGTAATGAATTTTTATTCTTGGTTTCTAATTACTTTAGTCAGTATTTCACTCCAAAAGTGAAATTTTAAATTTCATGTGAAAATAACTTATAAAGAGGTCTGAAGGCAATGCTCTGATTTGAAAGTTTCTCATGATCCTCTAGGAGGCGGAAATTTTCTCTTCGAATGTGTCGGGGAAACGACTGAGCTCTATCAAACACTTTCTGGTTTTAAAAATTAAGTGAAACAAAACTCGAGGAAATTCGGAAGTGGTAGGAGTAAAACTGGGTATCTGCGAGTATATCTAATGATTTCTCAGTAAAATTACGTAGTTATTTCTGTAATATTTGATCCATACTAAGCCCCAGTATAGAGGCAGTGAAAATGAGCCTAACTAATCTGCTTACCTTATGACGCTCCTAATTTTTATTACAGCAGGTTTACTCAAATTACTCGGATAAATACTGTTTAAAAGTAAGCCTTAAGCATGGTATAGGGTAATAGAAGAAATGCACTTAGAAATTCTGCTCCTGTATTCTCTATATTCTATATTTTACATGCTCTTACGGTTAAATAACATTACATATTTTATTTATTGAGATTTCCACGTAGGTTGTCACATAAGTAGATCTGGTATTTTCCGGTACCAATTGCATACTAACATAATTAATGAAAAAGTCTTATTACTAAATCGATTCGATAAGACTTTCAACAAACATGCAAATCAAACCTCTGATGTCTACCCTTATGATCGATGCCATCGGATTTAGTGCTTTCTGAAGAATCTTGAATTTTATTCCAGACATGTTAGTTATTCATAAGATAATACGTATCACATTAAGCTGTCCCATACCAAAAGTGTATTAAGGTCAACTGAAACTGTTTTTTTTCATTTTATTCGTCTATGAGAAACTCTAATTTTGTAGATCGTAGGTGCGGCAGTATGTCCTCTTACTAAGCAGTAGCTATTGTTGTTCATATCAAGAACTAAGGACACTATTCAAGTTGAAGTTATTGTGAACAACATTCTCTGTAAACTGTTTTCACCAGCTTGGGGACTACTCAACAAGAAATTTTACTTAAAAACCGTTTTGTTTAGGAATAACTTGAAATCTATTGATAAGTTTTATTAAAGAATAATGATTTTAAAAATGCTTATTTAACTTTTAAGTTTCAGAGTAAAGTGAGTGAAGCAAACAAAAAGAAATGAAGACAGCTTGAAACACATCAGAAGAGTATTTAACAGTGATTAGCAAAATCCATCTCTTGCATGTTTAGGTACCTAATATCTTCCAGTGATACCCCTAGTTAATTCTTGTAAACTGATTTGACCGTCTCCATCCCCATCCAGTCTAGCAATAAATTCCTTGATCTCCCTTCGATCAAATTTCGCATCATGTTTTCTGAAAAATGCCCTTAGTTCTCTTGGTGTAACAAATCCGTTACGGTTTTTGTCAATTTGATTGAATATGCAGCGTACTTCATCAGGACTGTTAAAAGTAAGAGTCAAAAAATTAATTTTTATTACTATATTTTCAAGGAGTTATTAAAAATATTTTAAAAAGAAACAGATTTTCCTGGACTGATGAGATTAAAAGTATAACTAAGTAGAAATTAAATCTTGAATAAACTTAGATATAGCTATGAGTTGTAAATGATTTTCATAAAAATAGATCAATTTCATTTGCACTTCCGGAGCCCTTCGTATTCTTGTTCCTAATAATAACTATACATTTTTTTTTGGATTACAGCTTGATTCCACACTGTAATTTTGGTACAAGTATGGAATTTTCAGCATGTGATATCGGTAGCCCAAAATTAGCAGGCCGACCATAGAGGTATCAGGTGTGCGTTGGTGGGGGCTCGAACCGCGGACCATATGCATGGTCGGCGAGAGTCCTAACCACTGTGCCACCGACGCACGATTCACCGATTCACCTGCAGCTCCTGTGGTTTCATTGACGTTTCTAGTGAACTCACATGATCTGATAATGGCAGACTATTCTACACTAAGGATTGTTAGGACTGCAAACATTAGCAGGTATTCCGGTCGACATTAATTTCAAAAAGTTACTGAGTGTATGATTACATTACCCACTATCCTCATTCTGCTCAAAAAAAAGTGTGAAAATTTCGTGATCAGTAGTACTGCAGACAATTGTGCAGATATTTAACTTCCTGTAGGCTTTCTGACATACAGTTTCAAAATGTTGTATTCAGCCTCAAAAGGCAGTAAACCTGTATTTAAATTTAAATAGCTCAAATCTGACTTCGTCGCTATACAACTTCTGTAAATATTTGCTTCCACTCACGACCGACATCATCTCTAGTTTCGCGGCCTAATCCTGCTTCTCAGGTAAAAAAATGCGCATATAAACATATTATTCTTCAAAGGCTGCAGTGATCTTTATGTCACTGAAAAGAAACATGTAAAGGTAAGATATTTTTATGCAATAATTGCAAAGCATTTTTTCATTTCAACATCTTAAAAATAGCCTTGTAAAAGATTATTTTAAAAATATGTGGTCAAAATGACGGCTATTGACTTACGTAATTGGGGCATTCATTGTTTTGGTTGGCTACTAGCTTTTAGTGGCTATAAGACAGGAGTTGTTTTTACACCTCCACAGAGAAAACAGAAACGCTACATCAGTAATTTCACATCTTTTATAGTTTTTTTTTCCTTTACAGAAAAAGCCCTGATAAAAAACAAATGTAGAACATAATGGCTGACAAGCATGCATTTACTCACATGCTTTGTCATCTACATCAAGTCAGTGTGATTATTCTTCATTCATTTATTATTTTTTAAAGTAATTGTTCTGAGTATAATTTTTAATTAGCTTAAAATTAATGTATACTATGAATATTATCATTATTATCAGCTGATAGTAAACTGAATTGCATGGCTTTAAAGCCGAATTGGTGGTCATCAGATGAATATAATTATGACCAGTAGTGCGTCGGTTAGGCTATTGCTTTGGTGTTCTTCACTTTCGGATATAAAATCATCTGTGAAGCGGAAGAATAAAGTCTGCATTCACGTTCAGCACGTCCATAGCTTGTGCAGAATAATATAGGCAGTACAACTGTTCGAATAAAACATTATCACCTATTAAAATGAAACAGGTGTTATAACTTCTTTGTCAAAATAGAATGAGCCCCTTATCAATAAAGGATGATGCGGTTGTGAATACGGATGGCCAATATGTGAAACAAAGCATCAGTAATTTTGTTCCCATGAACGTTTGTGGTTCTGATCCACCTTATGACGTCCTTGATAGAGTCTCATATTTTAGAAGTGATATCCTTTTAAAAATGTAGGTGCTAACAAAATCTGACAGTAGATTATTATACCTATTACAGTCATACACCCCTTATCGATTTTTTTGAAACATCAGACCAGATCGACTGATGACACACCACTTAGGAAATCAAGGTTAAAACACGGGATATTAGAAGCTTATTATTAACTTCAGTTTACAGTTTAGGAACTGTATTCCCAATATAAGGTAGTCGAATATCCACGCTTTTTAACGAGAAATGTTTACAGATTTCATTTTTACATAAATAATTAGCCACATCTAACAGATTCTTAACGTGTTCGACAAGTATTCACAACTATTATTTCAGTTTATATTTGAGTCTATTATGGTTTTTAGTTGTCTTTATGAAATCGTAGATGATGCTGAGCAGTTAACAATGCTCATGCAAAGTATGCGAAATATACTTATTATACTGAACATTTTAGACAAGGGGTATCGTCGAAAAAGTTCCCCAAAACAGTTCTTTAGAAAGGATATTAAACTAAATTTCTCAATCGACAGCACATAAAACGACAGATTGCCGTATTTTTATTAGGAATTCATGTGTGTAACAAGAGAATGTGACAACTTCAATAAGCTATAAGTAAGGTCGACAGTTACATTGCTCCACGTTTGCTTTCCCTATAATTCAGTGTCAGCAAACAAGCAAACTGAAATACCTTCAGACCGCGAACGCAGTTAGTGATGCCCTGCACGAGTGACTTTAAACAAATGAAGATTTCTTCTTTCACTGAACTTTGTTCTCAAACAGACCAGGATGATGAACCGCGTGAAGCAATCTTTTCTCAAACTTCAATGATTAGTATTTCATTGAAAAGTTTCAATGGCTTACACAGAATCTTGAAGGGAAATAATAACCGGCTATATGTTATTTGACGCAACACTGTTAAAGTGGAAACACTGACAGGTTCCCATTGATTATCGTTTCTTTCCCTTCACAAAATACATAGTAAATTTAAAGCATTTGAAAAATGCAGATAAATACAGACTGACCAAGACAGTATAAAATGGAGCAGACTTAGTGCATTATGACAGAGGAAATACTGGGTAGCTCAGAGAATGAACTGGATCTCTCAGAGCGATGATTCTTCATTCTATCAGAGTATTATAATGTTTGATAAATACTTTCAAAGATTAAATAATCAGCATCTGCTTACTGAATCTGTAATTATTCGAAGATCTGGATAACTGAAAAAGTAAAGTATTTTGAAATTATAGAAATTGCTTGTCAAAGGGCCAAGCTACAGACAACCTCCACAGATTCATTTCTAGCCGTCCCAAGTAAGGCCATCGAGAGTTTCCATTACCAAAAGCTAGATCCTACCTATTATCTGTGACATGTCGTTAATACATCACGCTATTTTGCGTGTATATGTTGTGACAAAAAACAAAATGAATGCATTCAATCTAAATCAGCTTGGGAAATATTTCGCTTAGATTAGGCAATAAGGAATCCGAAGTCTGCAGCGAATAAAACTAACAACACCAAACGAAAATTAGTGAAATCTCATATGCCTATAAAACACGATAATGCCTCCTTAATTCAATAAAAACAAATAAGGGAAAAAGGGTAAAATTAAGACACAAATCATTTGAAATTTAATGTCCAACAGAATCATCGCTTTTGTCATCTCGTTAATTCTCATAATTTCTCTTTCAACTCACTGTCAAGCATAGCGATAACAATGACTGCATAGTGAACTACTGCACAGTTATTGTGAGACCTCCTTTCAGCTAGCATTTCTCTATAATCTGTTTTAAAATTATCTGAAGATGAAGGCAGTTTACAACTACAAGTGCCCACCATAATGTCCATTCGGTAGTCGAAAGTGCTCGGTTTGATTTGTAGAAATCAGGAAACACTGGAATGAAATGGTATATTGATCGGTAGCAGATTTTGGGTAATGTATCTATTACAATCTCACAGACAAACGTTGACTGCCATTTGGTATGATTATGAGGAATAATTTGTGCTCGAAACGTCATCAGTGAATATTTCTGTAAAACACTGTGTGATTTATCAGAGTAAAATCTTATCCATAATGAAGTTATAACCTACCATAGTGCCCAAGTTTTATACTAATATCAACTAGACACTTCATTTGCATTCAGATGTAACACAAAGAAAATTAATATAAAGAAAAAAGTGTGCGTTGGTGGCACAGTGGTTAGGACTCTCACCGACTATGCACATGGTCCGGGGTTCGAGGCCACGCCGACGCACACCTGATATCTATGGTCGGCCTGCGAAATTTGGGCTACCGATATCTACGCTGAAAATTCCATACTTGTACCAAAAATAAAGTGTGGAATCAAGCTGTAACCAAAAAATAAAAAGTAGCTTGTGTTTTAAGGGATTTACTAAGGTTCCCACAGTAAAATGTGAAAGAAATATGAAAGCGTACAAAATATTTTTTCGAATACATCTACTTATTCTTTGCTCTTATTAACATGAATTTTTCAAATAAATGTTAAACACTAATCAGCTATGGTTCTTTGGTGAATGCAAATTATAAATTAAATCATAATAAAAATAACGACAACAATAATTATATCATTATATCCACAAAGATCAACAGTGGGCATATCTATAATCATAAGAATAGTAAAATTAATGTGTTGAATAAAACATTGAAAAGACATAGTACATAAGGACCCGGGGAGAAATAACAAGACTACACAATATTAAACTTTGAGGGGAATAGTAAAGGTGAATTTAAGTGATGCTATATAGCTCAGAATCGGTTAGCAAGCAGTGACCAAAATTAAAATTTGAGGGCTATGACTTTACCATCCATTTTTGAACACGTAGACTAGGAATGTTTGTGCGCATCGAAATTGCCACCCTCATGTGCAGTTAAAAGGCTTATAATTCCTTTGAAAGCTTTCAGACTTTCATCAGTTTAGTAGACGTTTGATATACATCTTTTGTAATCACAGCAGTGTACTGTGAAAGTCAGATAATTATGTATTCACTTACCCTTTTTTATTTTTTTATTTTGATTACAGCTTGATTCTACGCCGTACTTTTGTTACAAGTATGGAATTTTCAGCATGTGATATCGGTAGCCCGAATCTTGCAGGCCGACGATTGATATCAGGTGTCCGTCGGCAGGCGATTGAACCTCGGACCATGTGAATGGTCAGCGAGAGTACTAACCACTGTGCCACTGTTGAGGGATATGATGTCATGAAAAAAGCTTACCTACTGTGCATACACAAGAATCACTCTTATGTAACTGATCACTGTGTGAAAAAAGCAGTGCTAGTGATTACTGTCTATCATCTTAATGGCTTTCACATAAGCAATTTCAAGAAAAACGTCGCTTCTGAATTCCTCAATTTACCAACAATTTGGGGAAACGACAATCTTTTAGTTAACGCATTTGAATCACATCAGTCAAGCAATTTATGATTGTAAAACTATTAGGGGACCTCACAAATATGTTGGTCTATTTCTCATTGGAATTGGCTAAATATTTCTATCTCATCTGAAGCTTTTATTTACTTATAAATGTAATATAAAGTCATTACATGCCTGTTTATCTTCAATATTTTGTAAGCTTCCCTTAGAGAATTGCCGCATGATTCTTTCAGCTGTACGTGCATTGAGCTTACGAGACAAAATTGTGATGTTTGCAAACAAAGACATATTGAGCATTGTAAACGAAGAAATGTTTAGTTTTACCACAGGCACACCGCATCTCATACTTCTAGATTATGAGACCTGTGTCCTTCAACATATTTCCACACCTCAGCGTCATTCTAGATGACACATTCAATGATCGAAATTCCTCGCCCTAAACATTTTTCTTGTCCTGCCATCATTGACCTACAACAACTAGTTAATGAATCAAGGCCAAATAGTGTGAAAAGCCCTTTCATTTTAGTCTAACGAATTTTAATTAGTAGCTGACTCAGTACTTCTCTGTTGGTGAATCCAAATCTAGGACAGAAACACTATCCACCGTTCGTTTACTTGCAGTTTACATTAACTGCTGATAATGCAAGTCCTTACCTCAGTTCATCCTTTCATTTTACCCTTACTGACAAGCAATGCAAACAGTGTGAAATTACGTTACTGTTGAAAAGATAAATTGGCTGATTCCTCCGTCTTTTAAATAAAGCCATAAAGTTAATATTAAAAACTTAGAAACACAATTAACGTAATGGTAAACAAAATAAGATGTTGTTTTGCTAAATATGTTTTGAATATTTTGTGATTTGCATTTTTCACATCACAACATGATCGAAAAGGTGTCACCACATCAGACACATATGATGCTGAGAAACTAACGTGAATACAATCCATACTCTACTTCATATAACAACCAATGAGAAGTTGTCACGTTTTAGAAAATGTGAGATGCAAACGTGAGCTGTGGGCAATATAAATATGTAAGTGAGTGACTTTCTCCTACAATACAAAATGGATCGGCAGCTAACGTAAGTTGAAAACTTCTTTGAAAAATCCCACTTGTGTGTTCAAATTACTTACTTGATGTCATATTCCTCACTCTGATATCAAGATGCACACATTTAATTCAAAGTTCGACCACATGCACAGCTGATCAAATTGCAGAAGGCATAAAATGTTGCTATGACGTTGAAAAGTCATTCTAGTGTTGCCAAGTTTAACTGTCATATTAGTAAGTCAATTGTCAAAACACGATATAAGAAGGCGGATTAAAGAAGGCAATAAAATATTTAATATGACTGTGCCTTTTATCGAGGTATTCGTCGCTTTAAAATATATCAATTTTAGTGTCTTTCAACATTTCTGGTTGACTAACCGTGTAACTAATTTTCTGTGTCTTCTTAATGTAAGGTTATTAGTAAAGGATTACCTGTGTAACTGTATGCAAATGGTAAACATGGAATGAGAATTCGGTGAATAAATGCGGAAGTATAGTCCAAGCAAATAAACTGAAAGTTAAAATGTGCCCACTTTATGCAAACCATGAAAGTCAAATATTTAAATTGATAAGTGTTGTACAACATTATATTTGATTAGAGAAAATATTCCCTTGACAGTATAATCAGTTAACCAGTCAGAACATACACGAATACGTTTTGTTAAATTTGTCTATTGAGTTGGTAGAACACGCGAAGCGACAATAAACCATTCCATTACTTCATGGCAAGGAATCACGCTGAAATATTGTTTCCCAATGTCATAAACATCAAATACTTCAGTTTTGAAAGCAAACATTTTCCTCCCATCATGACAAGTGATTTACTTGTTTGCTGTCAGGGTATCGAAGATATTGATTAACGTATCCTACAAGTTACGATCAGAAAGATAAGTCATTTAATCTAAGACAAAGAATTAACATCCCACAGATCAAATTGCATCTTGAGCTACATAAGTTGAAAAAGCAAACTTAACAACTACAATTCTTCTAATCAGTTAGCACAAAAGATATTAAATTCATTTTTTTATCTCCTTTTCAAATTCTCTGTCAGTGAATATTATCCTTCTAATCAGTTTTTATTTTTTCTTCAAATAGGGAACAAGAGATACGAACCATATTCGACCACATGGACAAAAATCACAACGGTTATGTAACTGCGAAGGAACTCCGAGCCTACTTAAAAGCACATGATGCTAAAGTCACGAACAAAGAAATAAAAGCATATATTTCAAGGATCGATGAAAGTGGTGATGGTCAAATTAGTCTGCATGAATTTATGAAGGCATTTACACGCAACAATATGTTCAGTCCAGGCTACAGAACTATGAGATATTGAGCAATGTACAGTACATGATATTCTAAACAACTTTCACTCCATAATATAACTAAATGAATGAAAACTTATCACTCTTTCAGTAATTCTAGATGAATAAATATATTTTACTTAACTTCGTGATATTCTTAGCATAAAATCCCATTTGTTTAAAGTGAATCTATTGTGGCGATGTGTAATTTCGTATTTTAAGTCTTCGGCTCACTACGTTAAATATTTATGCACAGCGCTTAGGACTATTGCCCACCATGCACATGATCTGGGACTCGATCCTCTGCCTACGCACACCTGATATCAACGGTCGCCCTACAAAATTAAGGCTACCGATATCACATGCTGAAAATTCCAAACTTGTACCAAAATACTACGTGGAATCAAACTGTGACAAAAAACATTATATCGTTCACTTCTGTCAGTCAGCAGTTTACCTGTTATTGCTAGAAACACAATATTAATAACTTCACAAGTACACAAACATGTAGGGGCCAAAAGTGTCAGCATAAGTGGCAGTGGGTGGCTGATGTGATGTTATTTTCTTCATCACAAAGAGCTAGGCTGTTGAAACCTTCTGAAATCCTGATGCTTCATAAACGACGTGTTTTATTTTTCATTAACTCATACAGTGATGGTATAAATTATATTACCTCATATTACAGTCGAGCGATACATATGAATTAGGTCTGAGGGGAAGATAATTTGTCTTCAGAGCACGGTACCTTTTTCACTCTAATAAATCTGATGCTGAAAAAATTGTAGCGATACAACATATTCTTTAATGGATTTCTGAAAATGCAGTGAATTATCTCAAACTAAACCATCAACAGAATTCAATAAGACCGCTGTCAAATTCACATAGGGATAAAGAGATGATATAATATCACTTGTGGACAGACGAACAAATAATCCCAACATTCATATTCGAAAATCCTTCGGTACACATTGATGGCAGAGATTATTCCCACTATAATACGTGTATAAGTTGCCTTCTAACAGTAAAGCAACATAATAACATATTCTTGATCTAAACACTGGTGAACTTCATGTGGTAAAATTCATTATAGGGAGAGAACAATTTTGTAATTTAGATGAAGTTATTTAAAATAAGCTTAAGGGACTGGATGGCGAGTCGACCGTGTAGTAGTGAATCATGTGATTAGTTAAAGTTCACAAAATACAATTCAGAATAAAAAGAAAATCCCTAACGTGATAAGAATGAGGAATGAGGTTAATGTGCAATTCTTTCTGAGATAATGATTATTGTAGTGTTTGTTAATGGCATGTGACAAATTATCAAATATGCACATTCACTATCAATTTAGTACTCATTTGATTCAAATATATATATACGTACAAATATATATATATATATATATATGTAACTGGATTATTAAGACTTACACAGCTCTCTTAATTTCATTTTGAATAATGAACGCCCTTCTTGAAAAACCGATGACGTAAGTTCTGCATTCATTATCAGATTTCACTTCAGCCTCATGGCTAGTTTTCATTTTGCGAAAGTACTACTGAAGACTTCCACACATCAAGTGAATTTGTTGAAATCTTCCCAATTATCATCACATAAGATTTGAGATTTTTGTTCACCTGATACTTTCCACCAGACACGTGTACTCTTTGGGTAGAGGGAAACACAACACTTAAAATTTCTCCCTAAGATGCGTGTGGAAGAGTTTTAAACTTCATATTTTGATGGCATAGAAGTATAGTTACATTAAACACCAAAAGTTAATTTCTACCCCATGCATAACAAGACTTCTAGCACTCACAACGTCGGATAAAATCCTAATAGTCTTCATCGCAGGCTATTATGCTGAGACCATTAAAATTATATTATAACTCATATATGAATTCACCATTTCACTCGTGGCTATTTGTAAAACTATGATCGGCATCCTCAGTGGTAAAGGTTCATGCTCCAGATCCATTAATCTCATGCAAAATTCTCGGCTGTAGGTGAAGAGAAGTGCCAACATGAAATGAGCACATTCCATGCTGGGAGTTTTCTTCTTCTTCATTATATGAATATGCTTGATGGAATAAATTGGATCAAGTTTCAAAGGTTCCTCTTCCCACTAAATATATGTGCATCTGATGAATATCTTCTGTATTGATTTCTTTCACTATCACCTTGTTACATAATCTAAATTTTTCTTCTCTTGTAGAGAAGCAGAAGTACGTGAACTCTTCAATAAGATAGACAAAAATCGAAATGGACTTATATCTATAAAGGAACTGAAGGCTTATCTGAAAAGTAATTCTGTTCAGTACAATAAGAAAGAAGTCCATGCCTTCGTTTCCAAGTGTGACGACAATTGCGATGGTCAAATAAACTTGGAGGAATTGACAAAAATATTGACAGGGATAAAAAGTACTCAAAAATAGCTTCATGAATTAATCTGACGTATACTGATTAGTCGTGTGCGTGAACAGTCGGTTTGTTTTTCATTGAATACTTTAATTACGTTTCTGAAATTGTTCTTTCACTATGAAGATACATTCCACATATTAAGTGAAATAAAATTCTATTATTATTATATATCAATAGTTTTTAATAAGTATTCCGATGATGTAGTGTATGACCGTTAGAGAAGTTGAATAGTCTAGAATGTTGTGCTGCTCAAAACGAGGAATTTCATAAGTAAACAAAGTATGGAACAAAGAAGTCAGTCTTACTAAATTATTTTTGTCATCCAGAACTTCTTCATTAAATTGGCGTCGTTGTTCTTGAGATATGCAGTATCGGAAGAATTACCTATATTTGCTTCTTATCCTGTCTGTAGCAATATGCACTTCTAAAATATTCATCCTATTTAGTTTATTTGGCTATGTATTTGACGTATGCATCGCATAACTTAACTCCCACTATGTTTTTCATAAATTTTAGGAAGCTATTCACTAAGAACGGTTAACGAAACTCTAAAGCAAACATTTTCCGTAGTTGATACAGTGTGTAGTCAATAAAGTTAAATGACTTTGGTATCGTTCCACAACAATATGAGTCAGTATAAGAAACGTTTCAATTATAAATGGCATTCTTAGTCTGAATGAGAATTTCGAAAATGTAACCTCCCATCTGAGAACTTATACTCTACTCTTGTATGAGAGTCTCGGAAAGAAATGTCAACTCGTTAGAGGTGACACAGGAATGAGGTAGATGAAGAATACAGTTCTGAGGCGAAATATCAGTTAATAGAAGGAAAATGGTATCTAGTGATTTTGGCTTCAGAATGTTTTGATTGTATACAAATACATTATAAACTGCTTTGTTTTTGCGGCCCACTTGAATTGCTGAGCGACTTGATTTTCCATCCAACAAAAGGCAGTATATTTTTATTGTTTTAACCATATAATAACGTCCTTGAGTTGCCAAATGTACTTGCGCACATTTTTGATCGGCTTTTAAACTACTGGGGCTCATTTATTGGAGTTAGGGTTAAATATAATAAGTGATTAGTCTAAGTTTCAGATCGAACTGTGTAATACACTACAGGTTTTCATTTAAATTGAAGATCCTGGATGAGGAGAAAATATTATGTTATAAATTGAGCTAAGAATTCTCTACACTGTGTAAGCTTTCGGTCCAGAATAGAGTTGTCATTATTATGATCATTAATAACACAATTTCCTTATCACCGGCATAAAAAATTATAAAGGACGATCAGCACTATATAGTTAGATAAACTTGGTAAGCCTATAATTTCTAAATTTTGATATGTCTACTGGAAGCTTCAAGATTTGTTTGAATACCTGTCACGTACGGCAATGATTAGAATTGTCATTACTTAGTAATTTTGACAGTCAACGTTTGTAATAGCTACATTACCCAAAATCTGCTACCGATCAATATACCATTTCATTCCAGTGTTTCCTGATTTCTACAAATCAAATCTAGCACTTTCGACTACCGAATGGACATTATGGTGGGCACTTGTAGTTGTAAACTGCCTTCATCTTCAGATAATTTTAAAACAGATTATAGAGAAATGCTAGCTGAAAGGAGGTCTCACAATAACTGTGCAGTAGTTCACTATGCAGTCATTGTTATCGCTATGCTTGACAGTGAGTTGAAAGAGAAATTATGAGAATTAACGAGATGACAAAAGCGATGAGTCTGTCGGACAACAAATTGCAATTTTTATACGTTTTAGTTTGTTTCCTTTTTGTATTCTTTTCATGCTTAAATCTTTATTTCTACGTATTTTTTTTCATTTTTTATGCATAATACCAATATGTATATAAATACGCATATATTTTAATGCAGAATTTTATTTTTACATGCATAGTTGGATAGATAGGTATATTATGAATGTGCTCTGGAATCATATGTTACCCGTATTTCCATTAGTTTCACCTCGTATTTCATTGCATGAATTTTGAATTAACATCTCACATCCAGGATTACATATTCCTGATTATTAGTGCATTGTTGAAGATGATCTGGAGCACGTATACATATTTAGAAGTCGATTTACAGAGAGATTCTCTGGTTTTTAGTGCTGTTTGTGTTTTCAAAATTATAAAATACATTTCAAATTTCTTGAAGTAACTTGTTGCGAGTTTTGTAGTATTGGATTGTTGATAACTGATGGGTAATTGTACTTTTAGTAGAAAGTATTACGAACCACGGACGTGCGTCTGTCGGATGGCAGATAGTTTGAGTTGTATTACGGCATTTCGGTAACTTTCAAACTTTTCACCTTCACTTAACTTATTGTCTCATTCACGTCTCGTGTTTATTCGGTAGCACTCTTGAAACTTTAAGCAGGAATTTATTTTTGCCCAAACTTCAACTTTCTGCACACAATATTAATATCTGTTAGGCTGTAAGAGGCTTATGAAAAGCCAACGAAGTAAATGATGGTACCATCTTATTCTGCACAAACAGTTGTTCCTGCTTTATTCAATTTCATAAAGCAGAATAAGTCTATGACAGAATCTTATTGGCAAGGTTAATAAATACCTGTGCCAGTAAATAATAATTTCAGTATAACCAAATCACTAAATCGTGAGAATACATGCTCAGTTACCATAGTACCAGTAATGACATTACAAAATACATAAACAATGTGTTAATTCTCATCCATCATCCTTTACTTTATTTGTGTTAAACTTCATACTACTTACTATTGGTAAGTAGCATGACGTTTTCGTTAAAAGTGCTATCAATATGCTGTGATAATTATTGATTTATCTTCACTATTTTGTCGTGTGCTGACTGCCTTCCTATGGATGAGCAGTATGTTTTCTGGATGCCCTGCTCATTGTTGAACAGTGGTTTTTCTTTGACCTGCACATTCTCAAATTATTATTTATTGCTTACCGTGGACCGCTTTTTGACAAGCCTATTTTATTTTCTTATAGATTTACATTACAGTGGTTTTGATGGTATTCAACGTGGATACCTCACAGTCTGTGGCCTATAAATTCTGTTCATCATTTTTGTATGTTAAACAGCAGGATATTTGAAACGAACATTTTGGCTACTTATGGCCACATTGTTAGGCTTATTGTTTTGTTGCTGCGTAGCAGCAGACTCAAGCCAGTTCATTTGTTCCTATTTGAAATCTGTCAGCTAAGTAGACGTATTCCTCAGTGAATAGTGGCATTCCTATTCAGACTCGTACCCAGTACCCGTCACATCAAGCGCGAAAGCATTGTATGCTAGTCCTATAGGTTACCGCTAGTTTGTGAAAATCTATACTGATGTTTGTGAATGGAGGTTGATATATCTGACCGAAATGATCAGACTAATATCAGTAAAACGTTTGAGCATTGTGGATTAGATCAAATAAAGTATAATTAAATTTTAATAGTTTACACACAATGATAAGTTTTGTTATTGGTAATATTTCGAGCAAAACAATTCCAACAGTGGTGTGAACAAGGGCAGTAATTTTGCTCGAAATATTACCAATAACAAAACTTATCATTGTGTGTAAACTATTAAAACATAATTATACTTTATTTGATCAGACTAATTTTGGTATAGGTGATGTGATGTGATTCATATCCATCACCAACTCCAAATACAACTACAATCCAATCCTCAACGAGAAACTGACGCCGACAATTACTATCAACAACGCATACATCGCTCAACAACAAATCACCGCCATCCATCCATCCATCTCATCCTCGCTCACCGCTAAATTAACAAAACCCGAATGCAAGATACGGACTCCTAAAGGGATAGACTGATGTTGTCACAAGTAAGAAAACGAGGCTAAATGTAATGCTGAAACGGGACCAAAAGTGTGTCCAGGATTCCACGGTTAGCAAGCACCTCACGATTATACTTCAGTTATTAAACCTGGTAATACCTCAGCATCAGACAAAGGAAGGTGGATATTCAAATGACTCCGAGAAACTTGGTAAAACGTATCAACAGGAAATAACTGAAGTTAACAAACGATTTCAAATTATGCTATTTGCACAAGAAGTACATCTTGTGGTTTACGGGCCTAGTGGATGATACTTTGGCGTTTTAAGCAATGGTTACTGGGTCCGAGTATCAGTGGGACACACCACCGCTCGCTGGGGACCACCTGGAACCAGGCGACAAGACCCAACTATCACGAAACGCGTATGAAGCATACTGCTGATAACTGACATCAAACAAGTTGTACTAGGTCCTCCATCCTAGTAATATCTGGTCATCTGTTTCAGCAGCCCCTAGAATAAGATGAAACAGTGAAGGCGATCACGTATTTTAGCAGAAAATCACAAACATGCATAAACAATTTCAAGTGATGCGTGATGCAGGAGTAGTGGGTCTGGTGATCTAGTGACCTAATGGACAACTCTGTGGTGTTTGTTGTGATGTTTATTGGTTTCCATTTTCAATGGTGAGATCAACAGTCTCTTGAGACCACCTACATCCAGTTGACTGGTTCCAAATTTAATGACATGCGTGTCTGTTTACCTACATCTTACCACCAAACTAAAAAATTTGAGAAACTTGCTTAGGGTAAATGGACATTTCGATGGTATTTATCAAGGAAAATCAGTATAAATAAATCTGTCAGATTAAATCAGTTGCACTACTGAAGACGTGTTTACCATAGAATGTAGATTTCCCTACAGTCCGACTGAAGGCGACGTGCGAATAAGCTCATTAGCCAAGTATTTTGTCTTCGTTTCTGGAATGAATGAAATGAAAATATACTCAGCTATGATTTTTCCAATCTCACTATGAATCGAAATGAGCTACTGTTATCCTCACTAGTCAGTGAAGGCGTTATGAATTAGGAATGGCATTAAAATGACAGGCATTCACTTTCCCTGTACATGTAATCAAATGAATGCCTCCGATATAAACTCAGACAAATCGTTTCATAATGGAATACAAATTTCGCTGCGGTCAGGCTGAAGACAACGCACGAATAAATGGATTAAAAAAGTATTTTATATTATAGAAAATATGATTGTGCTTTAATTTGACTTTCGGTTCATACCTTCTTAAAGCGGGTATCCATTTAGTTATTTGTATCACATCCTAATCTTCTTAAAGAATATCATTTTTCCCCCATTATATACTTTAATCGACTCGCTGGAGTCCTTATTTTTTGACTACCTTCCTTCCCTACTTTTCTATCTGTCTACTTCTTAAGTTGGAAACTGTTTTTGCGAACTCCATTTTTTAATTTTTTGTTTTCTGTAGTTTGGTTTGTAAGGGTTAGTTATGTTTTTACGAGTTGATCACGGACGGATTGATATCGGCTAGAGAACCATTGAAAACCAGGGAGTACTGGACAGCTGCTGTTTCATCCTAGTTTGGAAATCATCGGCAGTACGCACCCACTGGGAATCAAGCTTACGACCTTCCGGTTACAAGGCAAGCTCATATACCATTCAGCCACTGGGACCTGATTCAATGGCTAATGAATTCGAACTTCTACCAATTAGTGATTTAACCCGACCTCAACCATTGGCGTTTGTGGGACATCCATCCACACACGTGACATCTAATTGGACCTCCATGGTCACGACTTCTCACTAGAACTCCAGGTTGGGCTAAATCACGAATTGGTAGAAGTTAGAATTCATGAGCTATTTAATCACCGTAGCTGAATGGTATACGAGCTTGCCTTGTAACCGGAAGGTCCTGGGCTTGATTCCCAGTGGGTGCGTACTGCCGATGATTCCCAAGCTAGGATGAAACAGCAGGTGTCCAGTACTGGTTTTCAATGATTCTCTAGCCGATATCAATCCGTCCGTGATCAACTCGTGAAAACATAATTTTTGTCCTTATTTTTCCATATATCCTCCGGTTTATTTTTACTCACATCATTGATGTCGTCGTACACCGTTATTCTATTCACCCTATATTTACGTGTAATCATTTCTTAATTTGTATTTCGATAAGCCACCGGGGATTTTGTTTGGTAATATCATTGATTATTGAGAGGTTCCATTTTTGTTTACTTGGATTATTTTGTTGTTCTACAGTGGTT